TATGAAATGATATAGCCTAGTGGTAATGAAATGACAGGGTGGGCTAGCTAACATCAGGTAGCCCATTTAAAGTAAAGTAAATGATAATTACGAAACTCTGAAGATAGGAAAGTTAGGAAGCTAGTTAGCTAACTAGTGACATTAACTTAGTGTTTCCACCTGGTCTGGACAGTGATGTGGGCAGACAGATGTTCAACTAACATCAAGGTTAGGAAATGGTACGGTCCATTTTAGAGGTGTCAGAAATCATATTTCAAGATTCTTGAGTATAAGGCATGATTATGGGAAATATAATTTTTACAAATACAGGTAAGAAAGACCCTCTGAACTGTTGCTTTTGCCTCTTTTGGGGGGGTCCAAGCCTTAATTAGGGGGGTCAGACCCCCCAATCCGTCCTGTAATTCGAACTGTGTATAAAGTACAGAAAAGTCAGAGTATGTGCGAAATCCTTTCAGTGATGTTACATCAGTTAAACGTACTTATTTGAACCCAAACCTTGATGTTCTCTTAAACCTAACCAAACTACAACATTTCACGACATTAGCTGCTAGTTTTATTTTGAAAGTTGAACGTAGCATGTTTTGTCTTTGCTAACTTGACCGCAGAGCCCTACAGGAACAAAAAACAATGCTAAAGGGTACCCAGGGCGTTAAAAAGCGACGGGTCTCTTGAGTCCATATGTGACGCCCTGGGATGAGAACGGGTTGTAATAATCTTCAGTACAACAACACACAAGCTAACAGGAGTGACGAGCACCGCTGAGGCTGATGGGAATGTTGTCGGTTCTGCAGGTATTTGGTCACAAAGCGAAGTGTTGGACACATTAACATGTTGACCTGATGATGGCGCTAGAGTTCATCCTGAGGAGAACATGAAGCGGTGGACCAGATGTTGTCAAATAATCCCGGTAAACACCAGGAATTTAGATCCTGGTGTTTGGTCTTGCTGTGTATTGTGTGTGTGTGTGTGTGTGTGTGTGTGTGTGTGCGCGCGCTCACTGCTGGCTCCCAGCGCTATGATCAGAACCAGGATGACTGTAGCCGTCAGAGCAGGAAACAACCAGGGCCTGAACCTCGAGACTCCTGAGAACGAGACAGGACGAGGCTCTGACAGACAGACAGAGAGACAGACGGGAGGTGACTTTCATTTTACAGGAAAGACAAAACCACCAGCTACGTTCACAGAACACACACAGTTTGGTCAGCCACGTGCACAGACGGGTGGGGAGGCGGACAGGTACCTTTGTTCCAGAAGGAGCTGGCGTCCTCTTCAACATCATCATGGTATTCAGTCGTCATGTCGGTGTCTCCCTCGCTGTCCCTCTCCTCCTTCAGTCGGTGCATCTTCCCTCTTCTTCTTTTTCCTCTTCTTCTTCACGCTGAAGGCTGACAAACAGTCTGACTGTCCAAACACGGAGCCGAGGGTCATTGCCCACCAAAAATGCACTTTGAACTGGAAAACAATGTGTGGTGAAGCTCTGCTGATGTCACTCTGTCCGGACTAAAGCTTTCCAAGGAAAGGCAAATGCTTTCTGAGGAAAGTGTGACACGCTTCCACTGTAAACCTGCAGCGAGTGAAAACAACCTAAATATCTTAAAATGTTGATTCTTTGGAGCTGCTGAAGTGTGTTTGTGGGGGATCAGCAGTTAAAGTTGACCAAAAGCAGGGAAAGTTGGTGACAGACAGAGACAGAGAGACAGAACGATCTGTTAGTGAAAAGCCACGGCCGACATGCCGCTGGTTCCTGTGAAGCCGGACCGCTTTGTGAAAGCCTTTTCAAACGGGGGAAAGCTGCAAACGTTTGTTCAGTATGAAGAAGCGATTGCAACATATTCTTTCTGCGCTGATCTCTGTATGAAAGCAGCTACACTCTCACTCTCCATCCCGAGTCCCGTCCCACTAACGCCCACTACTTACAAATCTACGCCAATTTAAGTGCGACTCACAAACAACAAGAACACCGTCTGCTGCTAATTACCATTAAATAGATATTATATTCTGAATATATTTCCCCTGGCAGGTAGCCTTCCAACATTTGGTTGCCAAACGGAAAATTGAGTGTCAATTTCCATTCCTTCTTTAAACACACGGTTTGAAAGAGTTTCAGTCGATTAGAGTCCAGATGTCAATTGAAATTAGAGTGTTTAAAGTGTCCGGAGTAAACTTGAAGTTTAAAGCACTAAAGGGACTTGAAGTGTTGATTCTTTGAGGCTTTTTTAAAAAAGTGTATTTGCGTGGGAAAAACCACTGAAGTCAAATCAAGTTTGATCTGATGTTAGCGTTGTGTAACTTACACATTAAAGGTTCAGTGTGTAAGTTTTAGTGACATCTAGTGGTGAGGGTTGCGAATTGCATCCCCTCCCTTATCCAAGCGAGTTGTACTACGGTGTCTGAAACAGGACAAAGTTGTCATCTGTGAGATAGATAGTGAGAGTTCTTGCCAGTCAAGAAATGAGGTTTCTTTAGATAGATATATTAAGAAATGACATTTACTTCATTATTCAGTAAAACCATATTAATATAATATACTATAATATACTATAATAATATTATTGTTGTTCATTAATAAACAACAGCCACATGAAGAAATGAAGTGCTCCATAATGTCTCATACTCCTGTAATACATGATTTTACATATTGGGAGGGTTGGCTCATCTGGACTACCATACCAAAGTAAATAAAGAACATCTCAAAAACTATCACAAATACAACAGAAACACAAAGTAGTACTGACAGCCTTAATTTCAGCTTGTTGTAAAACGGTGCAATGTTTTTAATGGTCATTTAGCATGTGAAAGTACTAATTACATATTTGTGTGCACAGTGGGAGGCAATATCCAATAACGTTTTTTAATGCAAATTTGGAAAGTATTCATTATTGGTCACTTGATAGGCACATGGTCTTGTTATATATCACCATCAGTAGTAAAAAGAAATGCATTTTTTCCACCAGGGCAGTAAGATGTGAAGTTTAGCTGCTGATCTGAGCTTCTCTGCTGTTACCGTTTCATTACCAATAATATTCATCAGCTGTTTGACTCACGTCAAGAAACACGTAACAAATATACATAACAGAGGCTGGAGAAGAACTACATTAAAATTACAATCCAACAACATATTTTTCTACCAGTCAGTAAAAGTTCAGCTGGCTGATCTGAGCTTCCAGCTGGAAGCTGTTGTTTTATTGCCAATTAGTGATCAGCTGATTGTCTGAGGAACATAACAAAACCAAAACAGAGCGCTGGAGAGAGAGAGAGTCACTACATGAAACTAATACATATTTTACATCACAAGCCAAAGCACACTGCTGGAGAATAAACCAATCCAACCAACCTTACATGTTTTTTCGACCAGGCTGATGCTTCCATGTTCTAAGCCAAGTTTACCGTTTTATTGCCAATTAACGTTACTAATCAGCTGATTGTCTTGCTAATGTAACCGGCAAAGGTAAAGGCTGGAGAATAATAGGCAACATGAAATTAATCCATATTTCACACCACTGACAGGGGAAACACGTCACGGCTCTCTGTGATTAGCTAATAGCTAAAGCTCTCAAACAACGGCTTTCTTTTGCATTGCTAAAGTCTGACAAACTTATTTACCTGTCCAGCAGAAAACAGACAACTTCAGCACCGCTTTGAAAACATCTGTCCCACATTAACGTTACAGCTGTCTGTATCTGTCCCGACTCAGTCTGGCTTCATGGTATAAATCCACAGGCTGTCTGCTCTCGTACTAAATAACACGTGTGTGCTCGTTCACTTGTCCAAATGTCACTTCTCTTTTTACTTCTAATTAACCAGAAGACTGAAGAGAGACTTAGTATTATTTTTATTATTATTATTATTCCCTCTTCTTCTTCTTCTTCTATGGACGCATTTAATGTAGTGACGGGCGTCTACACTGCCGGAATTATACAAGCAGAAGAAGAACGCCGTGATTGTCGGCTATTGTAGAAACATGACGACAAAATACAGCGACCTCCACATGTAGTGGTGTGAGTTTCTATGCAAGCTTACAGGTGTTTAGCCTTGCTCTTGAACGTACCTCTAGAGCATCAGATTAGCTCCACCCAGATCAATAAGCTCATTAGCTGAGCTTATTGAAGGCAGCTGTAGAATCATGGCTACCTCTTTGCATGTTTTGCAGCAGTCCGCTGCCCGCCAGTTTTATGTAGTTTGGCTGATTCCAAGGTTTCCTGTCTGGAGTGGCGTGATGTATTGTCCTTTACAGAGCACCCTGTGTTAAGGTACGAGAAGTTTAAGGAGTGACAGGTAGGGTATGATAACTACCTGAGGTAACTGTTATTTACTTTTATAAATCTGTTGCTAATATGTGTTTTTAATTGTAGGTTGTCAGCTGCTGTTTTGCCTTTGTTAAATTAGGATTTTAACAATTGTTGCTGGTACACTCTGGCTGCAGTGCCTCCAGGTGGCGCTCCACTAGTGGACTATGCGTGTATTTTAGATATAACCAGCTTTATTGTGTTTTACTACTTGTTTTGATCTTTTGAGTGTGGGTTCCTTCACTGAATCTTGTGTTAACGGCACTGGGGCACGATTTGCAGTGAACCGGTTTGCAGTGTCTATCGATTGCGGTGGGTAAGTTGGTACACCCCTGGAGCACTCCCTTAGTTAGACTGCCTCACCACAGCTGGCCCTGGCCCACTCTGCCTTTTTCTTTGGTTCAGTAATATTCAAAATAATAATAAAATTAATGATCTTTGTGTATGGCAATAAAAGTTCCCCATTGACCAAAAAGTAAACCTCCATATTGACCGACCACCCCCCTGTATCTGCATGAAATGGTTTGGTCCTGCCTCAGTGCGCTCACGGTGTTTATATGCAGTCAGTAGATACGCAGAAACACAGTGATCACAATGTTGCCTAGTAAACCAAAATCTGGTTTTCAAAAAAGGGAAAGAGAGGAAAGACAAAGTAAAGCAACAATAATAAAACAACAATAAACATGGTTAAAGCGGACAAAGAAAGAAACCATGTACCTACATAGCCTGTTTAATCATAGAAGCACAAAAAGCACACACTGATGAACAAATCAGCAAAATCAGGCTTAACGCTCTTATATTGAAATGCTTCCTGTGGGATATGTAGCTGAGCAGACAAATGTATTGTTTTTATTTTGTCTTCTGAGTTTCTATTGTTAGCTCATCAGAGACGTTATCCAGTCTGTCAGCACATATAACAGCAAGAGGCAAGGCGGGTTTATTTCTTTGGCACATTTCAACAACAGGGCAACTCAACCTTTACAGAAAAGCAACATGCAGAAGGGAAATATTTAAAAAAAAATACAGTTTAAAAAACTGTCAACTAGAAAATAAAAAGGGGTTGATTTACAACGGTTTTGTAGAATCATAATTTCTATAATGGGTTAGGAATAATCCGGCTGTTCACCTTCCACTGTTCTGTTCTTGTTTTTAACTGATGAGGGTCAGAGCTGATCAGTTTGTGGTGCTCCGGTTACGATGTACAGCAGGGTGAACGCCGTGTGGGTCTAGACACGAAGGCTGTGTTTCTGGCAGACAAAGCGCATCTTGATGGAGCAGTGCTGGTCGTTGAGGCGACCATCGGGGAACAGGTGAGCACAGTCTTCGCCACCAGGGCCCAGGCCGTGACCGTTCCAGTTGTCGGGCTGACCGGGAGCCCATCGCCTGGAGACACAAACAAGAAGGACAAGACAGTTTTAAGCAAACATCTTAAGTTTTCTTCCCAAATTTTGACTCCTAGCTCACTTCAGGTTTTAGAAACGTCCTCAGCGAGCTCAGAGGCTGACGGGGCGTACCTGAACTCCATATAAAAAATGAAGTGACACTGGTGCAATGTCTAAGTTTGAATCTGACCCAGTTCTTACCCTGTTACTATAGCAGTGATTATTTCCACAGATAAACTTAGTATAATTTTTATATTATTTATTTGACCTTTATTTTACCAGGAAGTCTCATTGAGATCAAAAAACTCTTTTACAAGAGAGGCCTGGCCAAGGTAGCAGCCATACATAAACACATCATATTACAATCATGACAAATTTCACAAAAACACCACAAGTCACACGCCTCTGGAGCAACTAGAGGTTAAGTGTCTAGCTTAGGGAAACAATGGTGTCTCACAGTGGATTCGCACCCGGGTCTCTCACAACAAAGGCATGTGTCTTATCCACTGCCCTGTCACCACAACCTCCACCACCATTTATCATGCAATTTCCTTAGAACTTACAGTAGGGATGTCTCTCTGTGTCTGATTGTTGGTTTGTCTTTCTAGTTTAGTTAGCTAAGTTAGCTAGCATAGTTATTGCAGAAAGTTAGCTAACAGAGGGTCTTCATTTTACTTTTTAGTTTCCTCCTCCTTGGTTTAGTGTGCTGTTCATCTTCATTATGGCATTTGTGTGTGTTGGAGGACAGATGACAATCCTGTTACCTCAGGATGACAATGCATCGGCGGAGGCAATGGTATCAGAATTCTTTACATACAGTTCAACAGAGTAATAGACCACACCTCCGCAGTAAAGTAAGCGCACCATAAAACTGTCACGGTTTGGTGTGGGTGAGGCAGGGTTGATCTGGTTGGAGGACCCAAATGCAGGACGTAAGGCAGAGGAGGTACAGTTCAAGGGGTTTTAATATAACAAAAGGCGAGCACACTTACAAACAGAGTGGCTGATAGACTGAGTCCAAAAACAAAGGCTGTCCAACAGAAATCCAAAAGGGTGAAAACCAGAATCCAAAACTGAGCAGGGTAACAGGGAGACACACTGCTACACAGGGTGACAACATACAATGACCCGACAAAGACCAGACGGAAACACCAGGTATATATAAACACAGGGACTAATGAGCAGGGCGGGAGCAACACAGGTGAAAGACATGAGGCTAATGAGGCACAGGCAGGGAGAGAGAGCAGGGGAAAACAGAGACAGACATGCAGGGGGATAACTGGGGTAACAGACATGACAAGGGTTACCGAACACTAGACGACAGACAAGACAGACCCCCAAAACCCAACATACTATAAAGGAAGATACTAACTCAAAAGTGTAACACAAAGAATGGCTGACCGGCAGAGTGTGACAAAAACGTAGTGTGAGTTAACGTGTGCAGTGCGTGACAGGACCATCGACTGTATGATGTATTGAACAGCTGATACGTGCACATTAGTTTCTATCATGGGTAAGTAATAGCTACCCCTGCCAGACAGTAAAGTGTACTAAACTTTACAGTGTAGTGAGGTTAACAAAGCATATCGTTAGTGAACACTGCAGCCGGTGAATTTTTGGTTGTCATGGTAATTGATTAAGTCTGACTATTAACCACACCTCCATTCTCTGTTTGAGAAAGAACGTTAACCAAAAACAGCAGTTAAAACTGGCTGGAGGGGGCTTTCAAATTTATCAATTGATATACACGTTTCTAGTTTAAGATCTTTTTGTTCAACAAAGGTTAAAGTCAAGGTCAACTGGACTTGGTTGAAGATAATAGAAGACGTTTCGTCACTCATCCAAGAGACTTCTTCAGTTCTGACTGAAACTAAGCTATTTAACCTCAGTAGTGTCGTTTACCAGGATCGTCGATTGTAACGACAGTCGTTAAGACTACCTGTGGCCAAGACTGAACGACCATCGTTGGTATCTTCACCTGAGGCCAATAGGTTACGTTTGTTGAGTTTCCTGGGAAGTGATGAAAGGGCCGCATTGTAAGTGGGGGATAAGTGGTGGCGTAGACTGTTCCTTCTCTCTGGCTTGGGCGCTTGTTTGTATGTTTTCCGCTCTGTGGTGCAGTGTTGACCCCTAGCGGATGCTGCAGTGGGTGGTGGGAATTGAAGAGTTGTGGAAAAGTTGTACCTGTACCTGCTTCCCGGTACTTTTTTTTCGTATCACCTCTGTCGAGGTTCCAAGCGCGCTGAGGCAATATTAAAATGTGACATGAAAACACTGCAGACTGCTGATTGGTCAGAGAGAATCGTCACAATTCACAGCATCATCATTGCGCACGCCGGACAGAGGCCAGCAACATAAAGTTTTATATTTTACAATTTTCAGACATTATTTCATCACTAAATTCACTTCTGAGAAATCAGCTGTGTAGATTTCAAATATAGACAGTTTAACGAAAAGTGATGGCGGAACAAAAATGTGCTTGAATGTTTTCGGAGTTGGTGACCTACGCAAGTGGGTCAGTGAGGCCGGCCAGCCGCCCGCTCACAGAGCCCTCTGCTCCCGCAGTCACACAGACCGCTGCAGCAACAACAGCAGAGGAAGGTTTTCATACCGCTTATCTGTCTTTACATTCTGAGTAATGTTGGCACAGAGTGATGGGAGAAAGAAAAAAACACCAATATCGGACAGGAGGAGCGTAACAACCCACCTCCGGTTCATGATGTACGGCGTCTGGTTGACCCACTCCCACCTTCCCGTCCTCTCATCGGTCAGACCCACCCAGTAGAAGATGCCCAGGGTGTGGCGGGTCACAAAGGCCTGAACCAGAGAGACAGACAGCCGAAGATTAAAGTTGTCCCACAAGGACCCGCTCTGGGTCCTCTGCTGTTTCTACACAGATCACGTTTCCTCTCACCCACTCATCGTCGCTGTTGAGTATGACCAGATGGGAGCCATGTGCACTGCACCAGTCTCTGGCTTTGTCCCAGGACAAAGTTGTCTGACTGAAGAAATAACAGCTGGTGCCAAAAATATCCCACTCCAGAGGACAACAGCCGTCCACCACTGAACCTGAGAGACAGACAGGTCAGCAGACACACAGGGGGAAGAGACATTCTACAGTTAGAGGTCTTCTTGAACTTCTGCCTCTCTGGAGAAAAACATCACATTTAGACTTTAGAGTGAGGATGCGTTTAGAAAACAAGCACATACTGTTGTGGATGATGCGTTCGAGGGAACATTTGAGCATCGCGACCGACCTCCTGATGGAGTCCAGAGCTGACAGCTGCTTCAACTCCTCCGACACTGAACACACACAAAACATACTGAATGGGTTCACACGGTGTCAACATAACACAGTTGGCAGTCACTGTTCTGCAGGTGTGTGTTTTAGAGGAGGACACCTGAGGTCAGCTGGTCCTTGTTGCTCTCCACAGCGAACTTCAGGCGGTGAACGTCTTTGGCTGCATCTGGGACGGAGTAACGGGAGATTTTGGACAAATCAGGTTTACGTTTTGAAGAAGGAGAGGAGATCTGGGAGTCTCTTATTAACCCTTACACCCTGTCCTCTGACTGAAAGACAGGTATGTTACCTTTGGTGAGCTGCTGCACTGCGCTCATGGATTCAGTCAGGTTAGAAACAGTGTTCTCCACAGACCACAGTTGGTTCGACGTGTTCGAGTCTGCACACATATAAATATACAGAAAAGCAAAATATCACATTCAGCAATTGTGTGTAAGTCAACAGTTTTCTACCGATTTAAAAATGATTATTAACCAGGATAATTGCAGATAATTTAATCATAAAATGCTGCTTAAACTAAGTCTTCAGCTTATGTTGAAGTAGGACAATGTTTCCTCTAAAACTCTGCTCTCTGCTTTCTAAGATCAGGATAGTTGGACCATGAAAACTAATTCAGTGGTAGTGGTTTTGGACCCAAATGCATGACACAAGTCTGACAGGTTCAGTTCAATGATTTACTAAAGCAAACAAAAGCGAGCACACTTACTAGTTGAGTGGCTGAGTCCAAAGAAACCAAGATAAACGATCCAAAAGGAACACAGTAATCCAACAGAATAATCCAACAAAGTACGATCCAAATGAGGCAGGGCAGGACACAGAACACAACTACACACGATAATAACTGAGACAGAGCACGACAAGCTGGCCGGACCGGACGGGGACTGAACAGAAACACCAAACACATATACACCAGGAACTAACGAGCAGGCGGGAGCAACACAGGTGAGAGGGATCAGGACTAACGAGACAGGCAGGCATAGAGACAACAGAGAGACAGGCATGCAGAGGAATTACTGGGAGAACAGACATAAAACATGTTACTGAACACAAGGCACTGGCAACTGACACAAGAAGAAACAAACTGGAACACAGAACAGACTAAAAACTAATCATACAGATAGACTACAAACTTAGCAGGGAAACGGACTGAACTAAGACCAGAACACAAGATAACCACAAACACTACACAGAGTACACAGAGTACACAGACCAGGAGTAAACACTAAAACATGAACTAAGACACATAAGTAAGAACTAAGACATGGAACCAAACACAGACTAAATAACAGATACTGAACTGACCAATAAATAAACTCACAGAGAACTAAACTCAACAGAACAGAAGACAGGACTAAAGGGAGGGAGGGAGGACAGGAGGACGGCCATGTAAACAAAAGCCAGACAGTCCAGGTAGCAGAGAGGGGGGCCAGACAGGGAACGCTCAGGCTGGCGGCCTGAGAACAGAGAAGGGGGGCGTAAAGTTCAGGGGGACGACCCAACAGGCAGAGCAGGGCGGGAGGGCAAAACAGTTCAGAGGGCCGACCCGGAGGACGAGCCAACAGGCCGGGCAGAATAGGGGGGCAAAACAGTTCAGGAGGTCGTCCCGGAGGCAATCCCCAACAGTCCGGGCAGAATAGGGGGGCACAACAGTTCAGGAGGTCGTCTCATAGGCAATCCCCAACAGTCCGGGCAGAATAGGGGGGCAAAACAGTTCAGGAGGTCGTCCCGGAGGACGACCCAACAGGCCGGGCAGAATAGGGGGAAACAACAGTTCAGGAGGTCGTCTCGGAGGCAATCCCCAACAGGCCGGGCAGAATAGGGGGGCAAAACAGTTCAGGAAGTTGTCCCAGAGGACGACCCAACAGGCCGGGCAGAATAGGGGGGCAAAACAGTTCAGGAAGTTGTCCCAGAGGACGACCCAACAGGCCGGGCAGAATAGGGGGGCAGAATAGGGGGGCAAAACAGTTCAGGAAGTTGTCCCAGAGGACGACCCAACAGGCCGGGCAGAACTGGGGGGCGACGTTGTCCTCCTGGACGAATTCCTGAACTGTTGTGCCCCCCGGGAAACACCAGGAGTTTGGTCTTGCTGTGTATTGTGTAATGTGTGTGTGTGTGTGTGTGTGTGTGTGTGTGCTCACTGCTGGCTCCCAGCGCTATGATCAGAACCAGGATGACTGTAGCCGTCAGAGCAGGAAACAACCAGGGCCTGAACCTGGAGACTCCTGAGAACGAGACAGGACGAGGCTCTGACAGACAGACAGAGAGATGGGAGGTGACTTTCATTTTACAGGAAAGACAAAACCACCAGCTATGTTCACAGAACACACACAGTTTGGTCAGCCACGTGCACAGACGGGTGGGGAGGCGGACAGGTACCTTTGTTCCAGAAGGAGCTGGCGTCCTCTTCAACATCATCATGGTATTCAGTCGTCATGTTGGTGTCTCCCTCTCTGTCTCTCTGCATCTCCCCTCTTCTTCTTCTTCACGCTGACAACCAGTCTGACTGTCCAAACACGGAGCCGAGGGTCATTGCCCACCAAAAACGCACTTTGAACTGGAAAACAATGTGAGGTGAAGCTCTGCTGATGTCACTCTGTCAGTCCGGACTAAAGCTTACCAAGGAAAGGCAAATGCTTTCTGAGGAAAGTGTGACATGCTTCCACTGTAAACCTGCAGCGAGTGAAAACAACCTAAATATCTTAAAATGTTGATTCTTTGGAGCTGCTGAAGTGTGTTTGTGGGGGATCAGCAGTTAAAGTGTAACTTCTACTTGAAGTGTTAGAAGTGAAAGAAATGGGAAGTGCCAGCTGAGTGAAAGGGGGGGAAGTGGCTTTTAAAGTGTCAACACTCAAACAAGATAGTTAGAGTAGAAAATGCTGAGAATGTGTAGGTTGCAGCCGTCAGTGTGAGAAGTGTTGAAGTGTGAGAACTCAAAGGAGGTGAAATGCCAAAGGTGCTCAAAGGAGTTGAAGTGAATGGATGAGTAACCAGCAAACTCCACTGAGTCCCCATCCACACTACTCCGTTTTAGTTTACAAATGGAGAATTAAAACAAATACGATCTCCGTCCACAGCAGCTTCTTAGCTGCGTTTTGGAGTTGATCTCTCTACATTAAAAGACTCAAAACGCACATCTAGTGGCCGTTCACGTCCACTGGGCATGCAGGTGCCAGCGGAAATATAAGGCAGATGGTCTATTCCTTAGTTACAGAAAATTTGGTAAAATAAAGTACTACAGACGAAGAACCGCACCAGATTTTATTTTGCATGGACCAATAACGAGCTGGGACTGTAACTGAATGTATCACAGGAGTTAAAAGTGGCTGTGGTGGCAGGAAACAGACTGCGAGTTGTCCCAAAGTAAACAGAGACATGCACAGTACAAGTGTAGGCTGTATTTGTTATTTACACGGTAATAAAAACACAAAATCAAAAACTCTGTCAGCAGCAGTGTTTCTGCTTCGCATGACTTATGAGACCCAATCAGAGAGCCAAACGTGAGCGTCTGCATCACCGTTTCTAAAGTCCTCTATTTTTGCCCGTCCGCACTGAAACGCTACCCCGGAGTTTTAAAACAGAAATCAGGGTCGGCAGCGTTTCCAAACTTCTCCGTTTTAGTCCGGACAGGAGGTGCAAACGTAGCAAAAGGTCTCCGTTACAGTTGCGCAGCGGCTGCCGGAGCCATTCATGGCCATTCTGGTCAATGCTCGTGAGTCCCTCTGCAGAGAACACGCAGCGAGTTTATTTGTGACGGAAGCAGCACACAGCAGATCGAACCAGAAGGAAGTCACAGAACGGCATAGAGAATCCATTCAATTTTCAAAATAAAATACCCTGTGCAGCCTCCTGATCATAAAACAATAAACACAGTTAAAGCGGGTAAAAAAAACCAAACCATTTACCTACGTAGCCTACTTAATCACAGTAGAAGCACAAAAAGCAAAATCAGGCAAAAAGCTCTTATTCTGAAATGCTCCCTGTGGAATATGCAGCTGAGCAGTCAAAAAAATGTATTAATGTTTTTATTTTGTCTTCTGAGTTTCTATTGTTAGCTCATCAGAGACGTTATCCAGTCTGTCAGCACATATAACAGCAAGAGGCAAGGCAGGTTTATTTCTGTGGCACATTTCAACAACAGGGCAACTCAACCTTTACAGAAAAGCAACACATTAAAAAAATACAGTTTAAAAAAGAGTCAACTACAAAATAATAACAGGTTAATAACGCACATCCTTAATAAGGATTTTGTAGAATTTACTTTCTATAATGGGTTAGGAATAATCCGGCTGTTCACCTTCCACTGTTCTGTTCTTGTTTTTAACTGATGAGGGTCAGAGCTGATCAGTTTGTGGTGCTCTGGTTACGATGTACAGCAGGTTGAACACCGTGTGGGTCTAGACACGAAGGCTGTGTTTCTGGCAGATGAAGCGCATCTTGATGGAGCAGTGCTGGTCGTTGAGGCGACCATTGAAGTGCAGGTGAGCACAGTCTTCACCACCAGGGCCCAGGCCGTGACCGTTCCAGTTGTCAGGCTGACCGGGAGCCCATCGCCTGGAGACACAAACAAGAAGGACAAGACAGTTTTAAGCAAACATCTTTAACTGAGTTTTCTTCCCAAATTTTGATGAGCTCGGAGGCGTACCTGCGCTCCATGGTGTACGGTGTCAGGTTGACCCACTCCCACCGCCCGGTCCTCCAGTCTGACAGACCAACCCAGAAGAACTGAGAAGCTGTCTCACGGATCACAAAGTCCTGAACAAACAGACTTGTTTTGTAAAAAACATCAAACACTGGTCCAAGTAGCATGTTAGCGTCCTAACATTAACATGCTAACTGTGACACCTGAAGTAAACTATGACTTTAAACATCATAAGTCTTGAATATAGTTGGTAGCTTCTGTTTTTGTGCTAAATGCATAAAACAAATATGCCATCTTGTTATTGATGCTCCTTTATTTGGTCACGTTGTCTCCATCTGCTCGACTGGACCAGTGGAGATTAGCAGGGGCGGATTGGCAATTCTGGCATATGCCAGAGGGGCCGGACTATTTGTTTCGGGGTGGGCAGGTCAGATTGATATTAATATCAGTGCTTCCCACACATTAGCTTGAGGTATGTTAAGGGCCGCTCAAAATATTTGGCGACCTATTTAAGCATTTTGCAGAGAAACGCTGAGAGAAATTTTCACCGCGGGTGAAAACGGTATCACGGGTGAAAATCACAAGTGCTGTGTCATTTCGGCCCCTTCATAAAACAGCTCACTGCTGATGGAGAAAGTCAACAGGGCCGACATCATCACACCCCTCTTTTCAGACCTTATGTCACCAGCTCTTTTCAACACAAAGTGACGCCCTTGCTGTTACATCCAGTCGGCTTCCTGCTTGTATTATTTCACCATCTGTAAACAAATGTAGCCTAAGTAGTGAATGTGTGTTCGTGGGGATACGTGGTAAGGTGGGCTGGCGTCACTTCAGTGCCAGGGCTGAATTTTTGTCCCAGTCCGCCCCTGGCGATGAGCATGGCTAATTCAGGGTCAACAGTTAGGTTTGTCCTATAGAGGCTACCATAGTACATCTGTAAACAGGATGTAGTTTTAAACAGAGTCGGTTTCATTGGTTCGTTTTACACCTGTTGCCTTTTATTGGATGGATCAGGAGGACACTGCTGTTGAATTCAACAAGTCCTCCGACCTAAACGACAACAAAGGTCGTTTATCCCTGCCACCTAAAACAACGCGTTCTCACTGCCTGACTCGTCACATATGGCTGCATGGTCAAGAGCCATCGTCGTCAGCTTGTAACGCACTGGGGATCCCTTTACCGTCCTAGTTCGACGCAGTGCTGTAGTGTCAGTTTTTGATGGTAAAGACCAGGGTTTGTGTCCCGTGTGAAACAAAAAGTCAACATTAAGTATTTTTAGTTAGAAGAGTTACGTAAATTGACGTAAGTTCCGTTAGTTAACTTACGTGTTAGCTGACATACATAGTTATTTTAACCTAAACCGTGATCTTTTCCGAACCTTAACCAAGTTGCTACGTTTCACGACTTAATAACACGCCATTTCAAAATGGCGATGTTTCGAAACGCTAGCGTTTTATTTTGAAAGTCATTGCATTTTTCTTGTTGCTAACTTTACCGAAAGCTGTATATTTGTTGTTGCTAAGCGTTGCTAACTTTACCGCGGAGCCCTAAATTCAATAAATGAAGCAAAAGGGGTACCCAGGTCGTTAAAAGGCGACACCAAACGGCCTTGACAAAGCGAGTCGGGAGTGAGAATGTGTTGCCCAAAACGACACGTATGAGCGTTTCCCGTACCGTCCAGCAACAGGCGACTGGACCTTAACTACGTTATGTTAGCCACGTTACCCATGTCACATGTCATTTTACAGGTTGTGCAAAGGTCGCTGTTTAGTTAGGATTTGTAATTGTGGATAGGGTCAAATGAAGGGTCAAATGAAGTAACTTACGTAAAGCCTAAAGTAAACCGTGACTACGGCTGCGTGGCGTTATGGCTTCGTCCTTGTTGCCTGAGCTGATTGCTGCCATTATAGTCAATGCCCGTGAGTCCACCTGATGCAGCAGCAGCAGTGCGTCCCAGACGCTAGCCACGTCAAGCAGCACAGAGCAGATGGAAACAGGCAGGAAGTCAGTCATAGAACTCCCGATCGTAAAAACACCAAATAAACATTTAACAACATAACGCCTACTTAAATACAGTAGAAGCACCAAATGCAAAAACTGATTACCAAATCAACAAAATCAGGCAGGCAAAATGCTTTTATTCTGAAATGCTCCTTGTGGGAAATGCAGCCTGAAGTTGACGGAACAAAACGGGGTCACATAGAGATAAAAGGACAAGTTAATAACAAGTCAATAATGTGGGACAGGCTGCACGCTGCGCTGCTGAGACGCTTCCAGTGGACGCTGACGCCGGGCTACGGACGCATCAACACTGTGTCGCAGCCATAACGTGGTGTCATCAGTGGATTTCAGGAGTAAGTCATTTACTTGGTTTCACATGGGGCTCTAACGTCGTTCTCCGGGCTTTGACTCATCCCACCCCTTGCTACCGTTGTACGGCCACTAGGAGCTGCAGACACAAACGTG